CATTTTTAAAATGTTAAATAAGCCAAGCAAACAATTGACAAGTCACTTTTTTATATCTCTTCTCAACTTTCATGTTCATGGAAGCTCTCCTCATCCATCACTTGGCCATCGAATGCTAATGCACATTCGTTATTCAAACCGCAATGCTGAAATGCATCGTTAGCTTCGCCATAATTCATTCAATATAATCGCATGTGAATGACAATTCTATAACTCATTATGTGCGCCTGCTCCACATTAGACAATGGCTTGAGCAAAGCCCCAAAGCAAGCCATAGAAATGCGCGCAGCTAATTGATATTCTTCAGCGATAATCATGAAAATTTATGCCACAATATGTAAAATATTTCTTCGTCGGCGGCGTTGGCGGCGTCATCCTCATTGTTTCTTCAAGCGCTTACAACAAATTGCAATTGCAGCAGTTTCTGCATATTAATTTTCACAGCGCTGACGTCGACAAGTTGTTTGTTGTGGTTGTTTTTGTCGTTGTTGTTGTTGTGGCTGTTGCCGGCACGAGCTGTAGTTGCTGTCGAGTCTCGCATTGTCGTTGCTAGCTGCTGCTGCGGCCGTAGGAGCCACTTGAGCGCCGCTTCTGACAACTGTAACAATGCACTTTCAAATGATAATTGTTACAACTTTTATCGCTGATATTGCCAGCAACTGTTGCCACTGTTGCAGCAGAAACATTTGTGGGCAGCCTTTGGCTTGCAGTTGTTATTGTTATGATTATTGCATTGTTATTGGCATTTTATTGCTTCTGCGCTGCTTTCTTGTCTTTATCTGACTACTTTAATGCTTAAAGGCCGATTGGCGCAGCAGCATGCAAACTGGGTCCTAGTGCCTAGTTCGTAGTGCGGAGTTCGAGCCCCGGACCACAAGTAGATCCTATTTGGGCTGACAATCGTTTACGTGCCGTTGTCATAAGTCCCTGCCAAATGTTCATCGTAGTTTTTAGTGTTGTTGCCGTGTTTTTTTTTATGGGTGGGTGGGCATTTGTTTGTTGTTCTTTCAACGTTGACCGACATTGTTGCAATATTGTCAGCACATGTACAAAAAACAAAAAAAAAACAAACAACAACCACATTTTGTTTGCCCAATCGTGGCAGTCTTTTGAGGTAGGCGTGGGGGTGGTAGAATGGCAAAGGGCATGGCCCTAGCTGAACGACAGTTTGCAGCCACTGCCGCCCAGTCGATCAGGCGACGATACGTGGTACTTGAACACGATTTTTTGTTGCAATTTTTATTTTTTATATGTTTTTTTGGACACGCTTATTGTTTGTGGCTGTATATTATATTTGGGCATTCGTGTTTTACCTATCGCATTTTGAGTGTTATTGATTCTCTATTTGGTTTATTGCGGCTCCCCATTTTGGCTAGTTTCGCTGGTCAAAATCAATTTCATTCATTAGTTGAAATGTTTGCAAATTATGTGAGTTCAGCGCCGAGGGGCACATAACCGACATTCGTTTTAATCACTGACAGTATTTTGCACAACTTTTTATAAATTGAACCCATTAAAAATCGGTAGAAAGGGTAAAATATTTTTGTGCAAATGTACGTAACAGGCAGAAGTAAGCATCTTCGACCATATAAAGTGTATATATCGCTGATCAGCATCAAAAGACAAGTTGTTGCGAGTTCGAACCATGCCAAGGAAACCTTTTTTTAAATTTATCTTTATTACTTCAAGTGAGAGCGTTGCGCGAACTGCATTTGGTGTTGGAATGAGAGGGTTCAGGGTATTCCCAAGTAAGGAGCTTCCGACTAGAACCTCTTACTTGTTTAATAAAAGTACCTGTAACTTTTAAAAGTTTGTTAGCGTAGGGACGCAACGCATTGATCTTCCGTTTAACAAATATTCCAATATTTTGATTGATATTCTGGTACAAAAATCTTGTATAATCGTCAAATACCTCACGTTTTTCTGCAAATGGTAAATAATGTTTATTGATTACAGTTGGTTAATTTCGTATTCATGGCGCTGAGCTGATGCCAACTAATTGACACTTAACATGGCTTGAAGTATTTTCAAGTTAATTGTGTGTCGACATCAACAACAACCGCAGCCCCCCAACACTCCCTCTAACGAAGCACAGTTGACCATTAGCTAGCTCTATTCATGCACATGATAGTATTTAAATTGCCCTGTCGTTTGCTGTTGTCAATGCTGCTGTGACTGTTATTGCGCTTGACATTTTATCGATACACCTGCAAAATTGTTGCTGCTACGCAGCGAACTTCCATATGCAAGTAAACAACATAAAATCTGACTTCAAAACAACAGCCAAAAATGTGTCCCCACCAGACCGAAGAGTGCAGCTAAAACTTTCGACTCTCGTCTGGCTGCGTAGGCGGCCAAAACAACAATAAGTAAAACAATGGCAAACAAAAAATAGACGAGTCTCGTTCCACAAGTCAAATATCTCGCAAAATGCAAAACACTTTTACCCATCAAAGCAAGCTTAGGGGTATTCTGATTTTATGGAATCAATTTCTTTGGATATTGAAACCACTCTTTATTTACTTCAACCTTTCAGTTTCATGCATGTTAATGGCCGTATTTATATTTTCAATTCAAGATAATTAGTATGGATATCGATATTGTCGATAAGAGTTGGCATATGCATTTCATTTACATTTTTCCATTTTCGTTTTATTTAAATTTTTTTTAATTTTTGGCATTTATTGCATTATTTTTATAAAAACATTTAAAGAAGAAATATAATTGTTCGACATTTTTTCTCTTGTAAACGTAAATGTTAAAATATGGATTTACTTCAGGCTATTGAAAATGTTGTCGTGCTTAATATGAATCGTCGACAAAGGAAATCATTTAAATTCATAGTACTTCACAACTTGTTGCTGTTTATTGATTTCCCTTTTATTTATTTTAACATAAATATTTTGCATTTTGGTCTTATTTAAATGTCTTGTTTTCCGATTTGGCGACTTCAACAATGTGCAAAAAATATTTAACAACTTTATTGGACATTCAACGCAACTTGTGTCACACTGCCAGACAAAAAACCAGTTACTTCCAGTGCACAAATATGTTAATGGTATATGGGTATACAGAGTGGTTCGTTTAAATGATAAGTGTTGTTGTTTCATTGGGTGCGGGTAAAGCCCATATATGTGGTAAGCGAAATTATTGAGTTGGAATGTGTTACTAAAGAAATGAATAAAGTTTAAAATCATTACACCTCAAATATTTTGCTTTTACAGTCCATATAAGGAAAGCATTAATGAGGCTAAACTAATAAATATCGTTAATTTTTCTTAAAAAGAACTCAAAGTAGAAAAAAAAAAACACGTATAAAGGAAATCCAGCTCAAGAACAAATTTTAATTAAATACAATATGGGGAGACTTAGAAAATTTAAAATTTTTTTCAACAACAAATACTTTTACAATTTTTAACACGCATTGGCAATAATTTTATAAAAATTCTTAGCTCGTACGGCAATATATTAAAACCTTTCCCACTGCGACGGACCACAAAATACCTTAAATACTTTCGCGCGAATGCAACAAATTCCTTTTATTTATTTATTTTCATATTAAGGCAAAGGAAAAAAGTTCAATTGATGAAATAAAATGGCTTGTGGGTGTTGTTAACAATGCGTTTGTTAAATTATTGTTGCTGGACTCTGACAACCAAAAGAACTTAACTGCATGTTTGGGCGCATAAATAATTAAAAAGCTCGCAATAGTGTTGCATGGGCCATGATGCATGTTGCATGCTGTCATGCAGGCAACGTTCAAATTTCAATAAGCACTCTAATTGTTTTTAAGTGTTTTTCACCAGGCAGCAAACAACGTAAATGAGTCGTAATTGCATAATTCTAATTTAGCGTCGAGTTCTAAGCACCAAAAACATGTTGACTACATTTAATGCATGCCACGTTGAGTGTTTGAGTTTTGAGTTGAGTTTTACACGTGTGTGCTGATGGGTATGGGTGTGGGCGTGTGTCTGGCTGTTTGGTGTGAATGGGTCGCTTATTTAGTCATTTTGTCTAATAACTTACTGCATTGCTGCTGCTGCTGCCGCGCCTGCCTGACTGTCAGCCCACCTGCCTGGCGGTAGTAATTGGGCAGGAGTACTGTGTCGGTAGCGCCGCTAAAAACTTTACGAATTATGGCTTTGAAACCTGGCACAGGTGCCAGCAAATTCGTGTGCATTTTAACTTAAAAGCTGTGGAAAAATATGGATTTGATTGTTGGGAATTTAAGAGGACATTGTAAATTATATTTAGTAGTGTATATAGAGCATAAAGTGTATTTTAATATTATTATTACTTCAATTAAAGAAATATTTAAGAACTGATTTTTAGTCAAATCGGTTGTAGTAAATTTTTGTTTTGTCAATGTAAGTATTTTAAGTATTTTTATTACAAAAATAAACCTATTCAATTTGTAACTAATATAAAAATGTATACTTTTTATAATTATAAAATGGACCATTTATCAATTTTATTATGTTGTTCATTTACTCCATAGTATATATTAATATGTAAAATGCATATTTCATTTCTCTTCTTTAAATAATTTACTTATGTATAAATTTGACCAGTCCATTGTAAAATAAATACTGACATTCGAGCTGCTAAATGCAAAGTTGACGCATTTGTCGCCTGTTGTTAACCCACTCACACATAAATTAACCATTTATTTTGCTTCGAGTGTTTGTACCATATATAAGTACATATATTTATATATATTGACGCAACGAGCGTGTGCTCTGGGGGTCGACTTATATCCTTATTGCTACACCTGCACAAAGCAAATACCAATTAATAGCTTTTTGAATGCAGCGAACCTACCGACCAGTCTGCTACAAGAGTTGGCTCAAAGTGAGAGCAATCGAGACAGAGGCAAAGGCAGCGACGGAAAAGGATTTCAAGGCCAATGGCTGGTATAACCAGGCGCACATGCAATTAAGTTACCATAGGCCAACTACAAGCTCAAAGTATGGATTGCAGGAAAAGTGCCGTTTATATAAATGACATTGCAGGATAGCTCTACTCAGTTAGCAGGCGATTGGCGTATGAAACGGGCGGATATGAAGCTGGAAAAACACAATCAGTCCTGGAGTGTATTAGGCTGGAGATTTGTGGCCTACTTAAGGGATTACTGTCAAAATTGTAGTCTGGCAGGCTTTGCCTATATAGCCAATCATAAGTAAGGGTAAAAAAGACGCGTATATATGCACATAAACTTGATATTGTATTTGGCTGCAGTTTACATTTCACGGAGCGAATTTTTTGGCTGCTATGCATTATTGCTTCGACCATAGGCGTTTATAATCTGATCAGTCAATATCAGCGCGACTTCACCTCGCGCGCTGTCAGCATAGTCCACGAGAGTCTATCGCCATTTGCGATGCTAAAATTTCCATCGATTACCGTTTGCGAAACGCGATTTAATACGGATTTTCCGAAAAATGTGGAAGATTATATCCGGAGGTATGTGAAACAGTTCAATCATATAAATATGCTATGTACAGGCTGGAAGTTTCTTACAGCTTGGGTACAGGCTTGAATGAGCCCTACAACTGGGTGGTTGAGTCGTATGTATCCTTCATATTGTTTCCACATCAGTATGTGTCGGGCACATTTTTGCGCTGTCAACCATTCGAAAATTGTGAAGAATGCGCCAAGTGCCCCAAGAAAGATTTTCGAAAGATTGCCACAAGGGTATATTGAGAAGAGGTGTACTATGTCTGAAGAGGTCGATTTTAAAATGTGTATTGTTTTATATTTCAGTTTGGTTTCAATTGCTCGGATCTGTTTATCAGTTGCAAATTGTCGGATAACACCTTCGACTGCTGCAACTACTTTCTGCCGATGATCACGCCGTACGGACGCTGTTTTCTGCTCAACTCACTTCAGAACAATAAGCCCGAATCGAAGCATTGGCTGCCGGCCATTTTGGATCGGGGTAGCCAACCGGAAATGAAACTGCATCTGACACGCTCTGCTATCATTAAAGTGCTCAATGAGGAGGATGTCATAACCACGGCGCTGCCAACTGTAGAAGTCACTGTGAGGGAGGGACAGCAAAAGACATTACAGTTTCACAAGGAAGCCATGGTGAATGATCCCAATATGAAGGATATTCCAGTAGCCGCCCGCGATTGCTACTTTCCCGACGAGGTTACGCCATGGAGCATGTACAAGGCGTACAGTTTCAGTGCCTGCATCAGCGACTGCTTGAGACTGTATCAATATGAGCTGTGCAACTGCTCCGTGTACAATTTTATACCATATGAGAATGAACGCTATCCTGATTGTGACCTTAAGGGCTACTTGTGTCTGGAAAGTTTTTCCCTGGTCCTGCAGGATATCAAAAGACTATTCCGCGCTAGTTCACAGTCACTGCATTGCCATTGCCTGCCCTCCTGCACGGAGGGCGACTTGAAAGCCATCTATGAAGATCAAACCAGGTAAATTGGGAATCCCTTGTTCTGAACACACATCTTTAACGTGTTTTAATCGCTGGCAGCATAATTGCCAATGTTAGGGATACCAATGTAACAATTGTGATGCCAGTGTGGCCCACGGATCAATATCGCCGTCAGGTGCTTCGCACCAAACTGGATGTCGTTGTATCCATTGGTGGCATACTGGGTCTTTTTCTTGGCGCCAGCGTCCTGAGCGCCATCGAGTTTGTCTACTACTTTACTATGCGTGCTGGTAACAGTGCGCTGATGACACGTAAGAAATTGGTTAAGACAAATGCTTAATTGGCCGTCTGGCAAGCAGATGCAGAAGCATTCAAATCGTTGTCGAAGTCTTAAAAATTGCTTTATCATTTAAAGGAAATTTGTGTTTTGCAGAAAGTAAGCTTTTTAAGAATCAGTGTTTCATCATATATGCATAAAATAGTCTGTACGGAGACCAACGCTCCGCTCAAGCCGAAAGAACTTCATCGAAATTTAGCACGAAGATGGTGTTAGGATATATTCGCCACGCCAAACATCATAAGCAACCCATTTGCAGATACTGTGTGAATTTGGTGTCTGAGCTGTCTAGTATGCGAGATGTCGCCCGTTCAAGACCAGTAGCTGCTGGTAATATTTATATTTATTTAGTTAATTTGTCACTATTAAATAAATAAAACACAAATCATAATTATCTAAAAACCGCAAAGTAATGGCAAATGAATGGGAGTTCACAATAATTTATTTTTTTTTTTTTGACAAGACCGAATCAGTCTACAGATTGGCATATTTATCTAAGCCTCTTCGTATTGAGAGCGAGGCTTATAAGTATAATTGTTAAATATGAAAGTAGGAACATTTTGAATAAATGAAAATACATGTTTTTGTTCTCTTGTGCACTTGAGGGGAGACAATTTATATAAGTTTTATATGTGAGTTTTGTATCTCATTTTGCAGAAGAGGAACTGATGAAAAACCTGAGTAATGGCATAGAACGGAAGTGTGGGGAATGCGTAAATGTGTGGTGACCAACAGAGCTTTGTATTCAATATTTACTTGAACTGGGCGGCGCCGGGTTTTTTTTAGTTGTGTATGTAACACATATATGTGTGGCATGTACTGTGGTGAAGCTACTCTAGCAATACATATCGGGTAGCAACGGTGACGGCGGTTGGCAGCCAATCTTCACAAAATAATTCGGGAAGTAGTCACCGAGGCCCCTCGTGGTTGAGTTAGCATGGCAGGGCGGGATCCTCTTGTTCCCTAGCTCTTTCGGGTGGGGGGGTTCTTTTTGCCATGTCTCGACCTGCATACACAATTTTATTTTAGGATCCCTACAGAATCTAAATTGGAGACCGATACTCCGCAGAAACAAAATCTCAAACAGGCATAACTTAACGAGCACTTAAAGTGCCAATACAATGGTGATAGCTTTCATTAGGGCATATATATTCCGAAGAGGCGAAGTCTTGGATGTAAGCTGACTCTCGCGTTCGATACCCTCCCAACCATGATCTTCAGCGTTTAAGGTTTTGAAGATCCCAAAAAAAACATTCTTCTACTACATTATATCACCATGTCACCAGGAAAGAAAACTTAGCAATTCATAATCAAAATCCGTAATTAATATTTATTATAAACAAAAGCATTATTCAATGAAACTGAATCCTTCCGTTAGATAATCTGCATCTTATTACAAGTGGCATTAATGATTCAACAATAATTCAGTAACTAAAACTAGTCCGTTAATATTTTTACAATGTCTCAAAGATTCTTCAAAAATAATTCATTTTATAAACTATTCAGTTAATATTTTTTTTTCTTATTGATCAAAAAGAAACTCTCCAAATTTCGCTAAAGTGCATTTTAATAATTATAGAATATAGCTAGGTAAGAAAAAAATGACATTCGTAAATTGAACTAAAGTGTATTCGGCAAAAGCAAAAAAAAAAGTTATTATAATAGAGTCAATACAATTGTAGTTGATGGTTAATTGTATGGTCGAAAAAAATATGGGCAACAGAAGGTTAAGCTCAAAGCGCATGGGCAAATCGGAGCGCAGCGCAACCAGCTGATCGGTGAATACGATGATACATCTTTGTGTACATATATTTGATTCTGTTAAAAATCTTTTCTTTTAGGTTGCTTCTGTTTCAGCTAGTAATTGAGCGGGGTGTAGGTAGAATCAAAGATGATAAGCATTCACCAGACTGACACGGTCATAAACATATTGATCGGAGCTAAAGCGTAATGTGAAACAGAAAGTAAAAAAAACTCAGCAGGTGCGCATGTCAGTTTGGCTGTGCTTATCTGTGCCAAAATAAGAAAATATACTCAAAACAAAAGGTTAAAAACTTACATGTATTCCTCGATGAAAGGCCTTCCAGCGGAGAGTTTGCAGCAAATTTTATTTAATTTTTTTTTCATTTGTTTTCTTTTGTCTTCTGTGGGGCTTTAAATTGTTTTGATTATATTATTATGGCACAGGAGGGTTTTTAAATTGTGAGTACTAAGAAGATACTCTCCGAAAATAAGTGGGAAAAAAAATATAAAAAAAATTCTGAAATGACTTTGGACTCTACAAGAAGGGGGATAGATTTATACTAGTATTCCTTTCTATATATATAAAGCTATGTATATAGATGTCAATTTTTCTTTTTCACTGCACTTGCACGCGGTTTTTTGAGGGCCTAATAAATGCACTTTTCACAAACTTTTGGAAGTCTCTCACAAGATTTAGTTAACAATTTTTTTACTAAAAACATTTAACAGCAATTTTCATGCATCTGCACGCTCCGGCCAACTTAATTGGCGATGTCATCTGGGCTTCTGATCAGCGGCGCGTCAATGGGGCCCAGAAGGCTACTGCCTCTTCCGGATTCCAAACTGTGGAAACGGCGCCTGCCCTTGCTGGCATGAGCAAGGGTATGGCAGCTGATCCGCCGTTGAGGCTGACGTCTATTTAATGGGGGCAGAAATGTCATTGCCGTCCCAAGAAATTACAGTGCCGTCCAATTGGCACACGTGGCGGCTGCCTCAAAATAAGTGGGTTTTTCTGTCAGAGACGGCGGCGGCAAGATTTATTCCTCCAAAAATTACTTTCGGCAGGCAAGCAAGAACTGGTTAAAACTGTGACCAGATCTTGGCACAAAGAAATATATGCCGGTGAGGTGCTGGTGGCCGGGTGGCGGAGCGAAAGGTTATCATCAAATGAACAAAAAAAATTTATTTCGCCAATCGGTTACTTTTAGGGTTTTTCTTTTTATTTTTTTGTTGTTTTTGGTTCAATTTAGTTGGAATTTAAATTAAACGAATTAAACGACTGATGCCCGAACTTGTTGCTTTTAGATTAATATTTTGGTGGGGCTATGTCCGCACCGCCGTAGCCAGACCTTCGATGGTAAAGTAACTTTTGAAAAAAAAAAGGGTTATATCCGGGACCTGCAGGCTTATATAGGGTCTCAGAGCTTTTTTCTTTCCCGGATTAGAGGGAAGATAGCTGCGCTGCCAACGTGCACGCAGGCGGTTTATAGCAGCGGCTGACTCATTCGCAGCTGACCATGACAGACAAAAGCTGATCGCTATAGCGTCGTTACACAAACGCAAGCTGTTAGGATCGCTTACGCGGTTTAATTTAAATAGGAAAACTGCGACCATTACACCACCCGATAATATCCTACCGTTAGACGGGTATATTAGCGGGAATTAGACTCTAATGTCCTTGGCATGAAAAGTACCAATTTCTTTTCCTTGCTGATTTTCAAGGGAATAAAAACAATTTCCGAGTTTCTTTTTGACACGGCATTTAATAAACTGGGGAGCCAGTTTAGCATTAAAATTGTGTGAGAATTTACTAAGCGCAAAATTTCGACAGAACACCTCCTGTCCTTCACGAAAAGAAACAGGCTTGCTGCGTAAATTATATTGAGCCGCATTGCGCTCATAGGCTTTCCTGATGTTTTTCTGAATATCTGTCCTTAGCAATGCCAAATGGTCAGACCGCAACAGGGGGGCCTGCGGTTCTTCCAATAAGGACAACTCCTTCAATAATTTGTAATCGGTACCATGAGTGATCATATCCACCCCGAATAGGGCACGGTATGGAGAACACCCAATCGATTGGTGCAGAGCAGACCTTAAGGAGCATGAAATCCCTGTAATATGTTCATCCCAATGGGTCTGATCCTGTTTTAAATACGAGCGAATGGCGGCGAGTATTGAGCGGTTAACTCGTTCTGCAGCATTGCTCTGCGGTGAATATAGAGCTGTATACAGATGTTTAATGCCAAGTTCGGCTAAGAAGGCATTGAACTCACGAGCTTTGAACTGGGTGCCGTTGTCACTTATTATAGTTTGTGGCACACCAAAACAATGGAAAATTTGTTCAAGAAGAAATTTTTGTATCACAGCTGAGGTGAATTTCTTCAGGGGCTGCAACCAATGATACTTGCTAAAGTGATCTAAGACTATTAACAATCCCACATGACCGCTTTTGCTTCTAGGGTATGGCCCAAGCAGGTCAATATAAAGCCTTTGAAATGGTCTGCAAGTTGGGATGTGAGCACCCATAGGTGGCCGAAGGGTATAATTTGGAGCCTTAGTTTCTTTACATATCTCGCAATTTCGTATGTATTCACGTACATCTTTAACTAATCCTGGCCAGAACAAATGTCTGCGGATTCTCTCAATGGTTTTTTTGCATGCCGGCGTGAGACGACGTTATGCTGTCATGGGCTTGTTTGAGCACATCGACTTTAAGTCGATCAGGCACCCATAGTTTCCACGAAGGACTTTCTTGTGACGAGTCTCCCCTCGAATGTTCGGTGCGTACATACAAAAACTTATCAACTATTTTTATGTCCGGAAACTGAGTAAAATTTTGGGAAAATTTGTCTTTAATTTGTACATAGCTGGCGTCCATAAATGTATCGGACTCAAGATCTATTACAGGACCCATGTCTAATTGAGCGATTTCCTTCTCAGGCAACCGAGACAAAGCGTCGGGAACAATGTGGTCTTTGCCTTTCCGATGGGAGACGGAAAATTTAAATTGTTGCAGTCTAAAAACCCATCGTGCCAGTCTACCCGATATATTTTGCTGGCGCATAAGCCATAGCAAACTAGAATGGTCGGTAACCACTTCAAATTCCTGGAGTTCCAAATAACATCGGAACTTTTCGATGGCTAATATGACTGCTAGGCATTCACGCTCGGTAACACTATAGTTTCGCTGCGCACGGTTTAATTTTTTTGACATGAAAGCTATCGGTTGTTCTTCATTATCTTCAGACATCTGTACTAAAACGGCGCCAATGCCAAAATCACTAGCGTCACAATGTAAGAAAAATTTCTTCTTAAAGTCAGCATTTTTTAAAACCGGCGAGGATGTTAGCACTGTTTTTAAGTTGTCCATTGCGGTCTGTGCTTCAGGGGTCCACTCAAACTTTTTCTTTGTCGATAATACGTCCGTTATGGGGCAAGTGAGATCGGAAAAGTTGCATATAAACCGACGATACCAACCGCAAACTCCTAGAAATCCTCGAACTTGCTTCAAGTTTTTTGGCGGCGGCCAATTTACAATACAAGCTACTTTTTCCGGATCTGTGCAAATACCTCCGCTACCAATCACGTAACCAAGATAATT